TAATAGTGTAGGGTTAAAAGACGGTATTCTCTAGTGTAGGTGCGCTGCTCGCTTATCTACGCCGCTCGCTTATTAACTACGTTAATTCTTATTAATAAAATATTTTTATAATTTTTAATTTAAATATTATAAATTTATTAAATATTATAAATATTTTTAAAAAATATGATTTTATATTTTAATTATTAAGAATTTTAGTTTTAATTTTTAAAAAATAATTTTAGATACTAGTTCTTATAATATTAGTAGTTTAAAAGTTAGTATTTTACTAGGATTTAGGGTCGTGAGTGGAATTACTTATGAGCTACTGTAACGTATGCAAGGACCGAAGGTGCAGATTTCCTTATGCTGGCCCAGCGTCTAACAGAATCAGCCCCTCTTGTAATATAGACTCTGCTCGGTGACTAACAGTGAGGTTGGACGCTTTGCCCGCGATGTGCCTCACGTTTTGCCAGGCATGTGGGGAAACAATAGACCGCATATCAAGTCAGAAGGCTTACCTCGCCTAACAGTTGTTAATCTAGTATAATGCTTTTCTCTTATTTTCGCTACTCGCTTTAGCAGCTTAAGAGTTTACTTAAATTTAATTTCGAACTGTTAGACCTAATTTTAGGGAGTTAGCGGGGTTCATTGGTGGTCTGTTTTGACTCCACGCAGCTCTCAGGGAATTCAAGGGTTTATTCAATTATTTGCCTACCGTGCCCGTCGTCTGGAAGCTTCATGACCTAATCCGTACCCTCGCTCGGTTACAGAGAAACTAAGCCTGCTGATATGAAAATCCCTCTCGCAGAAGGTGCAGCACTAGCTTGGGCGACATGTCTCTGATAGACTGTACCTGTTCGATACCTCTTCTCTTGCAGGCCCGGAGCCTTGTTGCTCGTCGAGACTCGGTCACATTAAATATAAGCAGCTTATCTGCAGCTTGCAGCTTGCAGCATGCAGCTGGCAGCTGGAAGCTGGAAGCTGGCAGCCCTCCGCCTCCCCTCTCTTCCGTTACCCTCTTCTTTTTTGTGCATCCCCAACGTTTGCGACCCTTGTACACATCACTCTTTATCCACGAAGCATCTCCATCATCTTCACCATGAAAACCACTCTCGCTCTTCTCTCCTTGATCGGCCTCGTCGCCGCACAGGGCTCTTCCAAGGATCCTTGCGTTGTACGTACCCAACGAAAACAAACGCGACTGGCCCCGGCATTGGCGGCGTACTATCGGTTTCCAGAATCCAATAAGCTGATCCCGCCCCCCTCTTCTCCCCATAGATTACCGCTCTCACAGACTCCGAGTCCCTTGACGAAGATATGTGCAAGCAGCAGACCGCAGACTCGACCACGTCAGCCACCAGCATCGCCAACACCAGCGTCACTGGCACCAGCACTGGCACCGGCACCAGCACCAGCACCAGCACCAGCACTGCCAGCACCAGCACTGCCAGCACCAGCACTACCATCACCACCAGCCCCGTCACCGTCATCGCCACCAGCACCGTCAGCACTGGCGTCTCGTCCTCGTCGGCGTCTGCCAGCAGTAGCTCCGTTGCCACCACCAGCTCGTCTACCGCCTCAGCTCCGACCAGCACGGTCGTCAAGAGTACCACGTCGTCTCGGGTCGGCTCGACTACCTTGCCTACCGCTACTTCTACAACCAGGGACGAGACTGTGATTCTTACTACGACTGGCACGCCCAGCGGCACCGGGTCTCCCAGCGGTACCAGGTCTCCTAGCGGTACCAGGTCTTCCAACGCAGCTGCCGGTACTGCTGCTGGTGCCCTTGGTGCTGTCATCGCTTATGTCTTGGCTTTCTAAGGCATTTTATCGTATTCGGCTGTCGGCTTTTACCTTGTTACGTATACCGTTTGGATGTGTTTATGCCGGTGTTGCGCTGGACTCGAAGGTATTGACGTTGTAATGCAATGATGCCCGCTCAAAAGTTCATAATTCGGGAGTTATCATTCTACACATTCTTTCAAATTTTGGAAAATACAGAATACTCGTCATGGTTGAGGTACGGTGTCGCCAGTGATGCAAGTAACCAAACTCCAATGAAAAGTCCAAGGATACCTGAAAAAACAACGCTCGTAAATTTATAATTACAACTCTATCTAGCACTTGCAAGCGCTTATACATATGATGATATGCATGCATCTATTCTATAATCTCTTTAATACCCACTCTGAAAGCACATTCGCTGAAATGCCGTCGCCATGCGCACGCTGCCAACATCGACGAACCGGTAAAACACATCTGCGACGCCCAGCGCCACGGCAAAGTTGATCACCGTCGACAGCACCATGCCCATCGCCCATTCTCTGTCCGTTTCCAAGCCCGTCACCGCCATCACCACAGGCGTCACGACGTACCCGACGGAGTGCAGCACCGGCCCGTGCACAATATACAGCGCGTAGCTGACGGTGCCGAGATACTGCGCCGTGGCCGTGAGGAACGGCCGCTGCAGCGTCGCGCTGCTCGACACGGCAATCATGAAGAGCACCGCACCGGGACCGAGTACGTAGCGCTTCGGGTCATTGGTCCAGCTCGGCACCAGCCACTTGTAAATGAGCATGAAGCCCTGCGTCTCCTCTGCGTGCGATGGTGGGAACGACATGAGGTACATGCCTGCCAACGCAATCAGCATGATGCCGAGACTCCGTATTACGCGGTGCTCCGCCGGCGGTCTTGGCGGCGGCGCGGCGTCCCGCTTTGCCTCGACGTCCAAGTCAATCATGTCCCGCGCAGCAGGCAACGACGCGGTCGCCCTGGCCGCGTCTTTGCGCATGAGATCCAGCTCCGCGAGCACAGCACCCGTCAGGAACAGCGCAATCTCCCAGCGGTCGCAGCGCAGGCTAAAGAGCGTCAGCAGCGTGAGGATAGCGAGACGCGACCCGACGCGGCAGCAGGCAACGGCAGACAGACTCAGCGATACCACGAGCGAGGCGCGGAACTCGAGCGTCACCGTCCACAGGTGCGGGTCGAGGTGCGGGTAATGCGGCTGCTGCCACGGGTTCATGAGCTGAAGCACCTGCTGCTGCCAGTCGCGCAGCGTGGCCGCCAGCGTCTCCTTGCGGCCCGGGTGAAAGTCGGGCCAGTAGAATAAATCCTTGAGGGTGTCCATGTTTCGCCGCGCCGGCTCAAACGCGCCCGCGTAGGTGAGCAGCGCCGTCGCCAGCATCGCGACCAGCGCGGGCATGTACAGGCGGATGCCGCGGCGGAGCAGGCTCGCGGCCACCGCGGGCACCAGCTCGGCGTGGCGGCGCTCGCGCATCAGCTGCAGCGGCTTCACGGCGTTGACGTAGCCGCCGATGAGGAAGAAGATGCCGACCATGGCGTGGCCGGCGTGGACGAGGCGCAGCAGCGGCAGCTGGAGCACGTGGTGGTTGGCGTTCCACAGGCCGTAGCCGTCGTCGACGGCCGCGGTCAGCGCCCACGTCGAGTGGAAGAGGAAGACGATGACGGCCGCGACGCCTCGGACGCCCGAGAGGTAGGCCGTGGCCGAGTGGCCGCGCGACGGCTTGTGAGGGGCGCCGTGGCCGTGGCCGGCCCGGCTCGGGGACGGTGATCGCCGGGGGCTCGCGAGGTTCGAGGCGGCGGCGCTGGTGGACATGATGGACTTGGAGACGGATACGGCTCGGTTTTTTATATACCGCCCGCAGAGAACGGCCGTGTCGTACACGGATTGCGGCTCCGGCGCGAGCAGCAGGTCTCGCTTGTCGATGCGAGACTCCATTATATTAGATTGGCCAAAGGCCGTTGCTGTCGAAGCCGATGGTAGGGTCAAGGTCGGAGAAACGGGTTGGAGAAAAAAAAAAGGAGAATTCAGTCGAAAGAAGGACTGTAGATTAATATAAATTCTGAAAATGAGACGCCTTTAGAACACTGTCGATTTATCAATGTCCCACTAGGATGCTTGTTGATCAGGCCATCGAGGTTTCGCTCTCGACAAGCCACAAACGTATCCAGTAGCGTCGTTATGCCGCCCGATAGACAAAACTTTGAATATAAGAAAATAAGACGAAAAGGAAACTTAATAAAGAAAAAGTGTATTTAGAGATGGAAGAGAATCAGAGAGAGAGTAAAAGAGGAAGCTGAAACGGTCAATAAGAGGGGTGGGCATCTCCTCCACCCATAGGGATTGCCGGTTACAGATTCTCTTTTGCTGTAATTTACAGCGTTTCTTCCTTGGGTCTGGCAACAGGCCCTTGTCTGGCCCCCCCTTCAACATTGGCATTGTCCTGGGGCCAGGCCGCCGTTTTTGGCGACACTGCGTGGACATATCGACGCCAAGGGACCCTCTTGAACCTTGTCCCCCTTTGGTGGAGAGGCTCTTGTCCGGAATAAGTTGTGATGTTCGCAATAACTAGTACAAGTTGGCGCTCAGCAGTGACCGTGGTGGATCGCTGCTTTTGCTTTTTTTGTGGTCTGAAGTCCAGGCACCGTTTCACGGTCATTCGGGAGGGGGGGCGTTTTGATGGAGATTGGGGGGAGGGTTGGCAACCAAGCCGCAAACCTTGGCGGGAGAGTCAGAGAATCATGTTGATCCTCAGCTGTCAGAGGCTCAAGGCGTAATTTGTCTTTATTTTTTGGTGTGGCAAGCATGAACCGAGTGCGGAGAGGAAGTCGAGTCAGTTCACGGAGTATCCGTAGAAGCCGGCAGTATGGAAAGAAAGATAATAAAAGACAAAAAGAAAAAAAAAAGAAAAAAGAAAAGGTACAACCTCTACATGTCATGAACGGAATGTCAGTTGTCGGGCAAGCAAAGCATTGAAGCCATGCGTTATGACAACGTCCCATTGCTGTAGACCTCTCCACCCCCTGAGTTGGTGCTGCGCCTAGTCTCCTGAGGGCCTGGGAATAGGTGGGAACAAAAAAAGAGCCCTTGCGACTGTTGATCTCGATAACTAGACAAAGCGAGCTGTCAGAAACCTTAATCATCTTTAGTTTTGCGCTGCGGTTGCCCACGTGCCACTTCCATTTGCGCCACAAAGTTAGCGACTCGTCTGACCGTTTACTCGAAGCGTGCCTGATCAATAGTCAATAGTTTATTAGTTACTGAGTAGAGTTGTACAGAGCAATACCAGTAATTAAATAACAGGGGTGCGAGGAGCGTTGCAGATCATTGCCCGGAACGTTGCAGATCATTGCTCAGAACCATTGACGAGTCAGTGAGGAATAATATTATGCCATTGATGACACTAGCTATGCGACCCCACCCCTCTCTTCTCCATCCTCGTCCAGGCTCAACTTCCCCTGATGTTTTCATTACTTATTTCGTCGCTCCGATGCATCTAATGTAGCTGTACTTGACTCGCTCAGCCTTGCAGTCTATGCGCATCATTCTTCCACACACACACACACACACACACACACACGCCGACTCAGCCGAGCATCTGCCTCGCCTTCCTCTCAAGCGCCGCCACACCATCCTCGCCCAGCGTCGTACCGAGCCATTCCCGCGCCTTGTCCACTACCAGCTCCCACACCTCCTGCTCATCGGCAAGCTTTGCCTCGAGATACGCGACGGCGCACACCGTCGCCGCCGTCTCCGCCTCCACGTCGAGCTGCTCGCCAGCAACTTCCCGCGTCACCCCGAGTAGCTCCTCCAGCGCCGTCGACCATGTCCAGCTACCGCCAAAGGTCTGCAGGGCAATAATGGCCTCGAGCGGCGTCTTGGCGTCCTCTTTCGTTGGGGTTTGGTAGGATTCATCATCTTCGTCCTGCGCGTTTCCAAACGCCACCTGCCGTCCGCTTGGCGCCTTCCGGTGCCGGGCCCTACCCAGGTGTTGCTGCTGTTGTTGTTGCTGCTGCTGCTGTTGCTGTTGTTGCTGCTGTTGTTGTTGTTGCTGCTGCTGCTGCTGCTGCTGCTGCTGCTGCTGCGCCATCTGTTGTTGCGCCATTTGCAGTTGCTGTGGCGGCTGAACAGACCTGCTCTGCATGCTCTGCAGGCCGCCAAATAAGCCACCAGATGTAGCGGCGTTTGTTGCCGCCGCTGGTGCCCCGAACAAGGCCGGCGAGCCGCCGCCGCCGTCGAAATCCACCGACCGGGCCGCCGGCTGCGCACTGCCGAGTAGACCATGGGAGGCCGCACCGAACCCATACGAACTGGCACTACCAAAACTGGCCGGGGCCGCTGATGCCTGCATTGGTGCAAACGGCGACGGCGCCGCCGCCATGCTAAACATCATCGGTGCCCTGCGTGCTGCCATGATATTCATGCTTCTAAGCTGCGGGGCGCCGCCCGGCGCGGCGAGCGAGGCCGATACGTCGCCCACCAGGCAGAAACTCTCCTCTTCGTCACTGTCCTCGTCGTACTCTTCCTGGCCCGAGTCCAACGTTGAATCTCTCACGTCCGATGATGCCGCATCCGGTGCCGACTTGTCGCCCCTTCTCTTGACGGCGACAAACGAGCACCACTTGCCCGCCACCTGGTACTCGACGCCGAGCTTGACGGCCGCTTCTCTTGCCACGTCGCTTATCCGCGCGGCGTATGCCTCGCTGAGCATCTTGCCGTCGGGCAGCTTGGCGTCGTAAATCCATCCGCGACCCTCTTCCAGGTCCTGCACGGCCTTGCGTGCCCCTAGCTGGTGGATGGTGGTGCCCTTGTCGGCAATGGTGGTGATGGGTATCTCGAGCTCCAGCGGGCCCTGGGGCGCGGTGCCTTTGAGAACCACCGACTTGGGCGTGCGGTGCGCGCGCGTCTCGGAAAGCAATATGTAGACGGATGTGCGGTTGAAGGGAAAGAGCGGCGGGATGGTGTAGGGCGCTTGCAAATATGTCGGCGTCGGCAGGTTTGGCAGTGGGAGCGCCTGGGCATCGGGCATCTCCAAGTCCTCATCCTTGACGGTCGAGTCGTATAGGGGGATCGACGTCTTGGTTGGCTTGTCTGCCTTCTCGCCAGTGTCCACCACCGTACATTCGCTGACCTTTTCAACGAGCTCAAACTCTTCCTCGTCGTCCTTTTCGTATTTGATCTCCAGTCTGTAGTCGTTTACATGCGGGGTCAGCGCACCCTTCAGCATGCGCACCACCTTTTTATTCATCTTTTCATCTTCGCCAACCGACTGCGCAAATCCTCTACCGGCGCGCGCCACGCCCTCAATCAGCGAATGGCTGGCATCGGCGCCCACGCCCAGCGCAAAGACACGAATCGCGCCATCAGCTTCTTTGACGGCGCGGTTAATCGCCTCAAACGTGGCATTCTCATCCCACGTCTCGCCGTCCGTCATCAGAAACACCTCGAGGTTGCGCGATCCCTCGCGGTTGGCAAACGTGGCCTCGATGGGCTCGCGGATGCGCGTGCCACCATTATTAGCCGTAAAGGTCCGTACGTGTGCCGCCGCCTCGTCCAGCGTCTTTTGGCTGTACGGCTGTGACTTGGGCCACAGGAATGAGTGCGACGAGCCGAAGCTGCAAATGTTGAACAGCACGCCGACCGGCAGCGACCGGAGAAAGACCTGCAGCGACGACTTTAGGTTGGGCAGCCGCGTGCCCGTGTCCATGCTGCCGCTGCGGTCGCAGATGAAGACGACCTCGGGCTTTTCGACTGCGAGGTTGAAGCGCGGCACCAGCGTGGCCATGATGGCTCGGCGGCTCGGAATGGTGGCGTGCGTCTCGAGGACGGCGGACGGGTCGCCAAGGCCTTTGGCGCATACTTGCACGATGAAGTCCTTGTCGAGCTGGACGTCGGAGCGCGTGAGACTAGCGGACGCATATTGTAGTGAGGCGTCGTCGTTGGGCCGTTTGGATGTCGTGCCGATCTTGACAGAGATTGGATGCGACGGGGACTGCACGCTTTCAATGGCAGCCCCAGTGGCCAGATCCACGTCGATGGTGACTGCTAAAGATGCCTCTTCCGTTGTAACATTTGCTTGATGATCCGGAATAGGCAGGACCAAGCCATCGGCGTACCGTGGAGCAATGTTGGTAGGTATGGTGTAGCGCAAACCATCCACTTCAGCATCGTGCTTTAGCTCTCCGAGATATGTAATTTCAACCTTGGCCTCTTCGTTCGGGCCGACGTTTCCGAGCGTTGTAGTAAAAACATCCGAAGCCCTTTCTGATTGTTCGAATAAACCCGCCTGCTGGCCTTTTGCCACGGCAGCGTCGAATTCCTTCTTGGCATCGGGCTTGGATTTAACGACGCCCTTGATGACAGTCTTGCCAATCGTGCAGGTAAATGCGACGACAGAAACGCCGTCGAAAAGTGGGAAAACATAGCGTGATTCCTTGAGGGTTTGCGATGTTGGATTCTTGAATGTCTGAGTGAGGATGGTGCGGGACGTGGAGGCGAGCAGTGTGGCGTGAGCGTTGACTTGTGTAAGAGGTAGGTACTTGCGTTCATTGTTGACGATGACAATGCAGCCGCAGTAACCATTGTTGATGGTGGTGAACAGTGGTGGTCTCCAAAATTGGCTCATGGCTGTATCTCTGTTGGATTATTGGTGGTTTGTTTGGTGGTTCGTTTGGTGGCTTGTCGGTGGTTTGTTTGGTGGCAAAATGACGTGTAGTCGGTCTGCGGGGTATTCCTCGGAATCTGAGTGATGCTGATAATATGTCTGGAAAAGAAAAAAAAAGAAAAATTCGGATCGATGCTGGCGAAGCTTCGTATTATATACCCATCTTCAAGGCATCCTCCCCGCTTTCAAGGTATACTCTTGGCCAAGATGTGTGATTGATGGATGTGTTGATGCCTAGTGAGATGAGTCGTTGCGATTGGCCACAGTCGCAAGGCGGCAGCGCGGTTTGGATCGTTGCCTAGCTGGGAGGCCGCCTTGCGAACTAAATTAATCATCAGCGGAGCTAACACTGTAGGCGTGACGACGGGAGAAGGTGTGCTATTCTTTATGAATCAACACGAGCATTGAACAGGAAATAATAGGCGCATTGTCACCGGGCGGGCGGCTGAGACAGTCGATGGGCATGTTTTACAACCACGCGGCACAATGCAATGTGCATTCTTTTGGTACCGAGATATCATTTACCAATCTTAAAACTCGGCGCCGCTAGGTGCACTAGTGCCTTTCCAACTGTAGAGACAGACTTAGTTTCTCACATGTACTTGCTTGCGACAGACTACAATAATGCTCTTGGCTAAATAGTCCAACGCTACCTCGACGGCCACGTCAGGACTGCGTTGCATCGTAATTTGTATAAAATGGACCCTTGCTCAATGCAGGTACTATTGACTTGCCAATCATCAAATTTCTTCACCAATGGAGTGTCTCAGCTCACTGCGACCCTCCAACTAGTCTACTCTAGCCCCTGTCAAACCTGTCAAGCTCCTTGGCCCGTACACTACAGCCCTCGTCTGGCGGCGGCGGCTTTTTCTTCTTTTTTTTTTTTTTTTAAAAAGACCCCATGACCCGCTCCGCTGCCATTCCGACCTCAGCAGAGCTTTCTCACAGAGGGGCCGGATGAATTCGACAACGGTCGCGGCGGCGACGGCGACGGTGCCCGCCCTGACTACGCCCTTTGCCGTGCCGGCGAGCTGCACCGACGTCTTCAACACCACAATCACATATCGCACTGGTGTCTATGGCGACGCCACGCACTACACCGTGCACGCGGCGTTTCCCCAGACGACCGGGGGCTGCCAGGCGTCGGGCCCCAACGTGCTTCGCGACGGCGCAACCATCATCGTCCGGCCGGGTGTGTGCCCGAGCGACTGGGTCGCGTACAATTTGAAAGTCGACGATCCTCAGTATTATCCTAATCCAAGCGACTCGGCCTCTGTGACATTCGAAGCCGTCTGCTGTTCGAGGCATGTTACCTGCTACATACGCCCGGGGATCTCTAAATCGCGCTTGGACACCTCGCTAACATGCACATTCGCGCAGTGGATTCTCCGCGACCGGCACCGTCAATGACATCCCCAGCTTCGGACCGGCTTGCACGAAACTCGTCTCCGAGACGCAGGGCGTCACGTCTGGGCAGACGACCACGACGCTGACCGTCAGCGCGCACGCCGCGTGGCACATTGAATGGATGGCCAGCGATGCACCGACCCTGACGCCCCAGCCGCCGTCCATGGAGCTTTGCTATGATGTGCAAATACCCACCTGGACGCCCGGCGCAGAAGCCACAGGTCGCAAGAAATGCAAAAGCTTAAAGGTGTCGCCGGACAAGCATCAGTACGACGGGCTGATATACGTTGCCATTGTGTTACCAACCGTGATTGGCTTTTTACTTATTGTGGGATGCATATGCTGTTGCGTGTGCTACCGAAGAAAGAAGAACAGGCAAGGACGAGAGGCAGGGAGGCCGATTGAGTTGCCAGGTGATGAAATATCGCTGGAGTACTACAAATGATGCTCTCTATATTAGTAGTTATAATGGCTAGTTTTTAATGATAATACATGTATATATTTTATGAGCATCCCGACGATTGATTCCAGTATATGACGAGTCCGACTGAAAAGCAGGATTGAGCGCCTTTCGCAGTCTGATGCGGATATGCAAAGTTATTCACTAGCATTTCGTCCTGCAATAAGAGAGGCATGCCAAGTTGCGAGCGCTGACAGGCGGAGTAGCCTCAGCGCAAAGGAAGCCCTGCCTAGAGAGGAGCTAGACTACCAGATGAATTTCAATTGTACTCCGTAGTCCGTACGAACCATGTTTTCTATTCAAGCAAGCACCTAGAGACACTCAGCATCCATCGCGCGCGCTCATTGATTTTCGGGCCATGATCCTCACAAGTTTCTGGCCCAGCTGCGTGCTGGCCGTGAGCCTCAATTCTACATTCAGCCAAGCCCGCACTTTTTGGGAAATTCCATAGTGACGACTATGGAGAAAACACTTGTTGACGAGTTGTCTATACTCGGCAAATGATATAATGAGATTGCATTATTCCACAGAAGAAAGTCTTAATACATCTAAAAGTATCTCTAAATTATGCAATGGTTTTGTTTAGTCAAAATGCACGAATTGATTGTTTATTTTGCATCTCTGGTGTCTCTCTTGGCGGGATCCCAATGCTGGTGAGGTTATAGGCTTCTACCAGCACCCACTACACTAACTGCCACCAAAACCAGTACTGTACAGTAGACCGGGAATAGGAATCGCTTTACGCGTCGTCTTCTTTACAATTAGCAGATGGTTCAGGTAAGGCTTTTATATATTTAAAAATTGTAACAAACTTGGTTTGGATCTGATCTACCCGCTCCGCGTCTATGATAAATGATATATGTAATTGCTCGTGTTATACCGAGTATAGAGGAGGCAGATCCTTTCTGTGACCTGAGGCTGCTTCCTGCTCTGGCTATAGGTTAGATGTAGAATACTTCAGTCTTCCGCATCTAAATGAGCCTATTATTAATTTTAATGAATTAACAAAGCTGTCTATTTAAACATGTCCCAATCACCTAGCAATAGTACCGACTATTCCATACCAGTTCTACAAAATTAGCTGGTTAGCGATAGATCTGACTCTTGTCAGGCCAAGGCTCATATAGATATATACCTGCTTTTTTCTTAGTATATATAGGCTTGGTCGACTCTTTCCGCGAGACTGACTCTTGCATAAAGACTCTCCCAATGCATGTTTGGCCCTGCGTTTTAGCTCACGTTTTAGCCACGTTTTAGCAATAGCAAAGTAGCCTCCGGGCTTACGAGTAACTAGTGAGTCAGCTGATCAGAGGCGCATATGATGAGTGACCGGTAGGCACAAGGTTTTAGGCAACGTAATTCTAACCAACTATTGTGTTGCTTTTAAACTGGAAGAAGAGTACTGGGGAGAAGGTACCTGCTTTTGTGTGGGAATTAGGGGCTAAGATAGGTACCTTTTTCCCTCCTCGGCTTATGATTAGTGGCCGGCGTCACAGCACCTTACTGGTTGCTGTGGTCCACACACTCTTCTATAGCCACAGCTTCAACACCAAGCACCAAGTACCCGGTTACAATGCCGGAGATATATCAATCAAGGGACTGCTTAATGCACATTCGCCTAATTGATCTGCTCCTAACCCTGGTGGCGGCTCTATAGCCCTCGCTACTATCGGCCGGAAAATATTGTCAAAGCACGTAAATATCACCAGTTTTAATAACCGACTCACGTTACTTTAAGGAGCAAATTCTATAGGTAGTACACTTGATGATGCCTATTTCGCGATGTTATAGTGGTGGTGTGCTACACCCAGCCTTGAGACACGATTTACTTAAGACGCGATGATTCAAGACAGATAAAGCTAATAGCAGCTATATAAAACCGCGTATTCAGTGCAAGATCACTTGACATGTATCAAGTTCTTGCGATAATACAGAGTCGACTTAGACAAGAGACCTGCAAGGCTCAGCTCTGCGGAAACTCTAGGCAATTCCAACAAGAGACGGCTTTCTTTAATTTAGCCTAGAAGGGACAGTGCGAGTCCAGGCGAAGCAGGTTTATATAAGAAAGATTCTCTAAGTAATAGTCCTCAAGTATAGCCAGATACTATGACGAGCGTCACAACGTCGCATTTCGCGTTTCGCACGCAACAAGGCCAGGCGGTCCACTCTGTCAATGTAACATGACCTTGTAATCCATGAATTGTCTAGATGAATATTCAGTCGGCTATTAATTTGGCACCGCGAATTTGTCTCCTGATTACGGATACATATGCGTCAAATTTACAGCTGATGTCGCTTCGTCAACGCCATAGCTTATCCTTAGTTTCCTGTATTGCGACATGTTAATTGACATGATGCATGACATCAAGATAATTCATCCTGTTCATATTCCGCCCTCCATATTGAGGATCAACCTCAACATCGTCTTCCACACCGCTTTCTTGGAGTATAAATACTCAAGATGCGTGCTTCCCAGTTGATTGTTTCCATATCCATCTCCAGAGCATCTGACCTTACGAAACTCTTGTAATCTACACAGTATATTCTTTTACCATTCTTTCCAAAAACATCTGCCCACAATGAGAGCCAATGTCGCTGTTGCCCTGACTGTAGGGCTGCCTGTTGCACTTGCGTCTGTATCGATGAACAAGAGAATCATTTCGCCTGATGAGTCGACAGACAGCTACAAATTCACCGTCAGCATCCAAGACAGCAACCACACCCACTTGTGCGGCGGCATGCTGCTGGACAGCACTACCGTGCTTACCGCGGCTCATTGCTTCAACGCCACAACAGATGAAGGTTATGTTGTGGCGGGAAAGATGGTATCTTATCCTTTTCTTATAATAGAACCCCCTTACGCCGAAAGCTTCTCGAAGATCTTTTCGGTGCCTATTGAGCTAATACCTAGAATATCTAGGATCTGACCAAAGAGGGGGGAGTCGTGGTCAAGATCTCCACGATTCAGCAGCCTGTACTTGAGCAGCCCAACTGGAGGCCCGCTGCCAAGGGTGATAAGATCAACGACATCGGCATCATCAAACTGGCCACTGCCATCGAAACGAGCAACGAAATCGAGTATGCAACGCTTCCAAAATCCGCCGACGACCTCCCACCAAACTCTCAAGTAGTTGCCGTTGGTTGGTAAGTGTGCCCGCTTCCACTTCTATTCACCTCGACAACCGTCTATTGGGTGCTATATTTTCGCGAAACTAAATTAATTATTTAATAAAACTCATTTTGAAGCGAAAAATACTGACGATACTTTAGGGGAAATGCGGCCATCCTGGAGAAAGGCGAAAAAGTCAAGCCCACTGAGAAGCGGGCCGAGGCCGCAATTCCTCTTCAGACAATCGACAAGTGCAAAGAGACCACACAGTGGGACCTGGGAGATACAAGCACTCTGCTCTGCGCGGGCAAGCCCGGTAAGAATGTCTGCAAGGGCGATAGCGGTGGCCCTCTCATCGACGTCAAGTCCGGGACCCTGGTCGGACTCGTGTCTCACAACTTCGACGACAATCGAGGCCGCAAGTGCATCAGCCCCAGCATCTTCACCAAGGTCGGCAGCTACCTCGACTTCATCAACAACAACCTTGGACAGCGCGGCTACACGGGCGGCGCGAGCCAGTGGTACAAGGACGAGCCGAAGCTGGTGGAGCTGAAGGGAGGCCTGATTAAGGACTGCGCGGATCACTACAATTCCAAGGTTGGGGAATGTATTCGGTCCATCGACGCCGAGTTTGGTGCCGTAAATGGGGATCTTGGGGAGACGGCTGATGATGCGACGCGGGAAGCTTACAACGAGAAGATAGCCGCATGCTACAAACTGCGGGACGGCTTCACGCAGTGCCCTGTTTGTGTAAAAGATGCGACGCTCGACTGGAAACTTGACCAAGTTGTGAAGTGTGTCGATGAAAAGACAAAGAAATGAGTGTTCACGGCCGGTTGGTAGCAGCAAGGATTGGTGGTTCCGACGGCGAGGTTTTGAACGAAGCACGAGGCAACATCAAATGTCGAGCTCTTTACAGTGCCAGTACAGAAAGACAACAAAATCTCCTTCCTCTGCATGATCTGCACTTAACGTGCGTCTGTCTGTCTGATTGTAGTCGGTTTTCTGGACTGTTAGCAGACCGCGGTCTACACAAATAAGTCCGCGCCAGTCATGTTATCAGCTCACCTAACCACTTACCAAAACTATATTGCACCAGGTTATCTGAATGGAATGTACCTAGTTGACTCACAAGACCCGCAACTCTACAGTCCATTTTGTTAATCACATTTTTCAGGGTTATCATTTCTTTAGAGACAAAATAAAGAGAATTGGCTTTCTGTTCCTTCACGATTGATCCCTCTTCCTCGTTATGTCTTCCATGGAACTCCTCTCCGGTCAACTAGCAGCGTCGCTGCCCTCGGCCGTCATTGGCGGGGCTGCCCTCTTCTCCGTGTCTGTGCTGGCTCTCTGCTCCGTTGGACCCGTCGCTGTATCGACAACAGCGCTCTCCGCATAGACAGCGCTTGTTTAGGCCCGACCAGTAGCTTTCCGAATAGTCGACTGTAATCTCGCTGCCAGCTGCTATTCCCTTGCTGACCAATATTATACGCTCAGTGCTTAACCAAACAAAGTGCTGAAACTGAGCGTTTGGGTTGCAGCTGTGGTTGATAAAGCGCGTAAAGTTTCCCTGTCTTCCTTGCCAGATTTGGTATGATCGTCCCTTAGTCAGGCATTTCATAACATCCAAATCCTCAATATCCTTTGTGACAAGCCCAACAAACTCCCCAATAGCTCCACCTCGCTGTATTGGTGTCAATGCCTGAAGTCCATTGTTCCGACCGTCTAGTGTCCGGAATACCTGCACCATGGCCGGCTGACGTGGCCCACTGAATAGCGACGGGAAGCAGTAGCACTGATTATTTGTAGGCTCATTCGACTGTGTCTGACCACACACACGACACTCTGCTATCGGTGCTGCAACCGTAGCTGGTGGAATATAGCGGGGGTCGTCTCCATCCCATGCCTGCGTGTCGACTACGGCACCGTCCAAGTGTTCAAAGGTAAAGAAGGGGTCTGATTCAACATAGGTATGCCGCAGAGGCACCGGCTCGGAGCCATCCAAGGAGACCACCCAATCATGCGGATGGCCTGTGAAGAGACGATCGGTGCTTTCACCGATACAGGCTAGTAATTTGCGCCAGTGAGGATGTAGAGTATCCGCTGCAACCTCAATACGTAGCTTCAGGCGTCTTAGGGTATCAAACCCTTTTTGATCGAGCCCGATGCGATATTTGGCGAGGCGGTAGAGTCCCAGTCCTGAAAAGACCAGGGCCGCCCAACCAGCGGCATCTTTAATATCCTTGTAGCCTTTCCAGATCGCCATTTTATTCCGTAGCTCCCTCTCTGACCATTTGAAATCCTGGCACGCCTCCATCAATGCCGTTTTTCGGCATTTGGCTGACGACTTCGAGGGGCTATTGACAGCAAGGTATTCGACGTAGCTATCAAAGTTCTCTATCCATCGCGCCTGCACGAGAACTTCGAAAGAACGATATGTTCGACTGGCCTGGGTGACTTTGCGGCAGACGATATTACTGTGGTTGAAGAAATCGATAGCGTTGTTTGAAGTGGTCGTAACTGGGTAGATGGTCGTGTGGGCGGACGAAAGAGCTTCGAGACTCACAGAGGAGACGGCGTTGCTCTCCACATGTGTATTATTGTCCGAGGCGGAGGTGAGAAGCGCTTGCCCTGCTTGAATTTGCGGCTCGAGAATGACGCCGCCGTGGATCTGCTCCCAAAGAGAGGTGATAAACTTGGTCAAGGATGGCTGCTCTAGGACCGAGTTCAAATGAGTTTTGGCTCTCTTGGGAAAGTTGTAGGACGTAACTTCCATCTGGCGATGTGTATCAATGACGTCATAGTCGGACGTGGGACGAAGACCGCTGACCATTGTACGCGAGTTCTTCTGGCCTGTAAAGGACCTGCGTGGACTGCAGGGGGTTTCGGCCAAATTCTCTGCAACGGGGAACCCATCATTCTGGGCGCAAGTACGATCGCCCTGGCTGGTAGCCAACTCGGGCGAAGGACTGGAGGCTGATCGGGCAGCCAGAATGTCAGATAGGTCGAGAGATCGCTATGCGTAGCCATTAATTAGCAACATCTTATCCTAAAGTTATGTCGCTAAAAGCTTACCGATGCAATAAGAGACCCTTTCCCATTTATTACACCTCCTTCCTGGACGAAAGCCTCAAAGCGCAGCACTGGAGTACTGAACAGTTCTAGACGAGAGGAGTCCAGCAGTTTCTCAGCTAGTTGATCCAGTATTCCATCAATGAGACTCTGGCGCAAACGGTCTAATTTGGTAGAGGCGTCCATGATGATACAGATGCCTGTCGGTAACTGCTTTTCGAGGTTATCTCAGCAGCGGATCAGAAGGGTCACTTTATGAATGTATAAAGCCTGATCCACACCAATCAAGGTTTGGTCCCACATGTTTACTGCCACACATATGATGCCCGGGCAGTTAAACTCAAAGAGATGGGGCGATTTAAATGCTCCTGATTCGTTCTTCTGGTGGTGTCTAAATAGAGAGTATCCATCTACGGAGTATTGAGATGAAAATGACAGCGACCAGGGGGAATGTCTCCTAGGGAGCACCAAGTTATGTGCCCTATTAGCACTGGCTGCTCTTATTACAACTGAGACAATAGATGGGGGAAGGCTCTAGTTGGGTAGCACGCAGTGGGCGCCTTTTGCCTGAATAGAAATTTCACAGGCGTTAAATAATAGGTAAAATATACATGTATACGCATCTATCGGTGCTGGTTGTGCGCGGCTGGCTCCATTCTATCGCGACACCCGTTGTGGTTACCCACACACCCACTTCGATTTGTTGTATAAATGCAGAGACAACCTCTCCTTATTCATAGGGCACTTCCTGTACGAAACATTGGCCACAGGGTCCCCAAACCTATAGACCGAAGATGGGGAGTTCCAACAGCTCTAGTCAACTGCGATTGGAGCCAAAAACTTCTCGAGCGTCCTATTCGTACGACAAGGCATCTGGATGGCGACGATGGAGGGTACTACGACCAGGCAGAGGAATGTACCACGATGTTAAAAGAAGAATTCCGTACTACTGGAGTGATATCACCGACGCCTTTACATATCGCACCATTGCAAGCACTGTGCGGATGTACTTTGTCAAGTACGTGATCTCTACCGGTCCATTAGCGGTCGCCCCGTACTAAACAGCTCTCTATAGTCTCCTCCCCGCCATAGCGTATACGCTTGACATGTATCGTCGCACCGGCAAGTTTTTTGGCATAAACGAAAGTCTGTTCTCCTCTGCTCTGGCGGCTGTAGTGTTCAGCATCCTTAGCGCCCAGCCGCTTACCATCGTTGGCGTGACCGGTCTAATTTCCCTCTTCAACTTTACCATCTATGATATCATTCAAATTTATGATGGTTCCATTTATCCTCAATTTATGGCTTGGACGGGAATTTGGGCTGCCGTCTTTCACTGGCTCGTTGCAATCTTTAACGGATGCGACTACATGCGCTATGTCACCGACTTCTCCAGCGAGTCTTTTGGCCTATACGTTGGCATTATTTACATCAGTGAGTCTGCCCTCTGCCATTGAAAGGGACGCCAAAGTACTAAATTTGAAGCAGTCAAAGGTGTAGAAGAACTTGTCAACGAATTTGAAAATGGAAATGCTGCTGGCTTCCTGGCCTGCATCATTGGCATACTCTACTTCGCAAGCGTGTATGCGTTGGAAAAGGTTGGCTCTAGTACAATGTGGAAGGAACAATTTCGCGGAATATTGGCCGACTATTCGTACGTTGTAAGTATCGGGTATCCCGTCATTTGATATTTTTCTTCTTGTTATACTGACTAATCTGGAGTTTTGCACCGTCTTCTGGGTTGGCTTCTCACATATACCCGGCCATATCCGAGATTCGAACATCGGACGAGTGCCTGTGACGAAGGCTTTCTATCCAACACCATCCAGAAGCTGGGTGATTGACTTCTGGACACTCGATGTGAAATGGGTTTTCGTGGCCATGCCCTTTGGCTTCTTGCTTATGCTGCTTTTCTACTATGACCATGTATGGCAGTCATGCTACCCTTGCGAAGAGACATAAAAATGCTAACTAGGCTTGCAGAACGTGAGCAGTATAACTGCACAGGCCCGTCAGTACCCCCTGAAGAAGCCCGGTGGGTTCCACTGGGACTTTTTCCTGCTCGGCTGCACTACATTTGTAGGTGCTATCCTCGGTCTTCCGATGCCCAACGGACTAGTGCCGCAGGTGAGTATCCTTTCCTGATATTTTTGTCGATCCTAGTTGCTAAATGTCTCATGAGGCGCCTGTTCATACAGACTCTTTGACTATCTATAAAACGGATTTGAAGATTGTCGCCACATCCGAGGGGGAAGACACGGAGGTCCGCCGACCAGTTGTGACGGCTCTAGCGGTCGTCGAGCAGCGAATCAGCCATTTACTAATGGGGCTCGCATTAATCGGCACTATGACTGGTCCTCTATTGACAGTTCTACACACGATGCCATCAGCCGTGTTTGCCGGCGTATTCTTTGTTGTCGGGGTATGTAACCCTATCATCTGTCATGATGAGCAGGTAGCTAATAATCTTGGCACAGTGGGGTTCAATCGAGTCAAATGGGATTCTTCAGAAGTTTCTGTATTTGCAGGCCGAGAAGCGCTTCGTCCAGCGCGACGAGCCGATCTTGCATGTGCGCAGGCGAAAAGTCTTTCTCTACATCGGCATACAGTTCCTGGGCGTCGCAGCATGTGTGGCTATTTCGCACACCCTTGCGGCAATTGGCTTTCCCTTGCTGATCATCATTCTCATCCCACTTAGAATTATGCTCGTGCCCAGGTGGTTCACCCTCAAGGAGCTACAGATCCTGGATGACTTTACCGCCACAAACAAGATGGTTCTAGCCAGTTTGGGTGGCAAGCCTGCGTTGCCGGAAGAAACCAGAGAAGAGGACTGGGGCTTAGAACGGAGGCGGAGCGAAGAACGACACGGCGTGGCCAGGCAGCGAGCAGGAAGCATCCACAGATGAGGGGTGTAGGCTTATTGTTGAGCCGTTCGTGAAGTTGGAGGAAATCTAGTACACGAGCAGAGCTCACCTCACCCGGCGCTGGATCTGGAACGGTTGCGTGCCATGATCCAAGCTATTCTGTTGACACTCCATGTGCGGGCTGGTCGCCGATAGTATACTTGCACTATATGCGCTTGCAACTTTGCTTGTTCAGTTACTTAGGCAGCATTGACATTTTACGTTTTGAGCTTGCGCTGCTTCGACTCACTAGTGACATGACTCTTGATTGCCTGCAAAATGAACGTCGTTGCATCACCTGCGATCATCGTGGTATCGGTAAGGCTGCTCTTGGAAATCATGGCCTAATCTTGCCCTGAGCACCAAGAACATCAACGATCACCACCGAGTTTGAGCAAGCGCGTCTAACGCCAAGCAGCTAGTGCGAGACGTAGCGTGGCGCAGGGGAGCGGAAGACTGCGATGTCAGAACTTTTCTGGAAGCTGCCGAGCCCTAAAGTAGCCGATGCAAGCCCCCCGATCTATTGTAGGTATACGTCAAGAAATGCTGGCTGTTTGTAGTAACAAGCTCATAATTCAAGGAGGAAATACGTGCACGAATGGGTTAGGTGGTAGGCAAGGCTTGTGGTGGTGATGCCTTTGTCCGGCACAGGATTATTCACAATCGTTCCCGTAAAAGGCGGTGGCTGGACCTGCGGCTTTGGTTGGGGTTGTCAACTAAAGCAACATCGTCGTCGAGGCACACATCTAGCTACAGGTTTCGTCAGCCTCGATAGCAATGCTCGAAACCCAGTGACGCAGCTAGCACAACATGGCTTTGCCACGGCCCGGATCAAGTGGTAGACTCTCCTCCTCGAGTGGCGGCGGCGTCAGGGAAAGAAATGGAATATCTCAGGTAAAAATTGTTTCGGTCACATAGCTTTTTGACAGGCCGCCCATCTGGAGCCGAGCCGAGGGGTTTTGGTGTGCGGCTTGGCATTGAGTCAGTCGTATGGCGTGGGAGGGCACTGACAAGTATGGAAGTTTTCTTTCGGAAGCGCTACAATTCTGACAGCGCCTGGGAAGTTGCCTGGCAGCGACAGGAGATTGCTCTTTTCGCTCTTGTTCGGTCTGAGAAGCTCCGCCTCTGAAACCTCGCGCTGAGGAGTCACGCAATATCGACATCTAGTTTGCGGATGCGAAACCATAGGGCCGGCAGCATGTCGGCAGCCCTCAGTTTACGCGTTTGCTGGCGCGAGACATGATTTGCGACGCTCAGAAACGCGATGGTGAAGGGCAGGGTGTGGTCGCCAGGCGCGAAGCAATCACCGAGCAGTGGCCCTGCACTTGCGAGCAGCGATGACGATGTCACGAAGAGCTTCTGAGGGTCATCAAAACTATGCTCAGCGCACGTGAAGTGATTCTCGCCAAATGAATGCGTGGTTTACCTGATGGTAAAGCATACTCTCTGCAGATTCTCGCGTAAGGAAGCTGTTTGCAGTCATCTTACTCGGGCATGACACCAGAGGCAATTGCCACATGGGCCGACTCTTCAGACGCTTCCGAAGTCTCTGGATATGTAGTCATATAATAATCTGCAACGCATCAAAACTTCAAATACTTGCAACAGAAAGAATTGCGGCAAACTTTTGCTGTGTCATAGTTGTGTTGCCCCACTGTGGCGTCGCCCCCCGTCCTCCCGCCCGTGCAGCCCCGCGAAAAAAATCCAGGAGCAACCTCGACAACTCTCTTACCAGCGCTCTCTAGCGTTTCATTCATTACGCAGAGGAAGCCGCTTCTTGCGAGGGACCGACGAATTCAACGCTCATCAGATCCATCCACGATTTTTATGCATCACATCACACTCTTTGACACGAACCACGACCTGACGACGATTACGATTTACGAAACCGCTACGACTGTTTGTTTGCGCCGCGTAAACAAGCCGCACCTTGAACCCTCACGAATTTGAAATCACTGCCACGCTCACCCCATCCATTCGACATGGCTATCGAGGCTCCTCGTCAATACGTACCTTTGACTTGCCACGGGCACTCTCGCCCTGTGCCGCACATTGGTTTCTCCAACCTGGAAAAGGAGGAGACATACTACCTAATTTCTGCCTGCAAAGGTAAGTACCCAACACTGCGCTAATTGTCGTTTCTGACAGCATCAGATGGAAACCCCATGCTTCGTGACGGCGTCACTGGAGATTGGTGAGTCGCATGATGCTGGATTCATCAACCAAGCTAATGAAGCAGGATTGGTACATTCATCGGCCACAAGGGAGCTGTTTGGCAGGCTAGACTGAGCCCCGACGCGTCCAACGCAGCCACGGCATCGGCAGATTTCACCGCGTGCGTTTCCCAATCCGAATACAAATACTGTTGCTGACAAGTCTGCAGCAAGATTTGGGACACCCACACCGGCGAGATACTCTACACTCTTCAGCACGACCACATTGTTCGAGCCGTTGCATACCCTCCCGATAACTCCGACCTCGTTGCCACTGGAGGCATGGAAAAGAAGCTACGAGTCTTTGACCTTTCAGAGCTTGGCGCCACCAGCCCTGGCTCTGCCGTGACAATCCCGGCCTCGGCTGGCTTTGAGATTGGCGAAGGTATCCATACCGACTCGATCAAGTTCATTTGCTGGACCCAGGACCCCAACGTCGTCATTACCGCCTCTGGCAAGACGCTTCGATGGCTTGATCTGCCAAGCCGCGCCTGTATCCATCACAAGGTCCTGGAAGGCGAGATTAAGTCGTGCGAGATGATCTCTCTGTGCCCAAGTGTCGCCTCGCCCACGGATATTGGAGGAGGTAAGCCAGTGCTTGCTGTTGCAGCTGGCAAGACGGCCTATTTCTGGGGCGAGGAGCGAGCCATGACTGAGCTTAAGCGCATCACTCTTCCAAACTCGATTGCCAGCGTTGCGCTTGATATCAAGGGACGCAAGCTGGTCGTCGGCGAAGAACCTGGTACTTGGGCCAAGGTGATTCGCTACGATGACGAGGTGGAACTGGACACTCACAAGGGTCACCATGGTCCCATTTGGTCTATTGCCTTCTCGCCCGATGGCAAACTGTACGCGACGGGCTCCGAGGACGGCACGATTAAGATGTGGAAGAACTGCGACGGCTTCTATGGACTCTGGCGTGGTGTAGGCACGGAACGCTCAGGAGAATAGAGACTTTCTGAGAAGGGCAGCCACCACTCCTCAAACATTGAGAGCAACTGCGTGCGCAGTCGCAACTTCACGCCCAGAAGCAGTCGCGAATCAGATGTTAGCTTTGAGATGCCGGCCGACACACCCGACAGCTCGTTGGCGACGACTAAAAGTGATGATTGCCAGTCGCCTTTGAGTCAGCATTCGGCCTCGTCGAGCCAAGGCTAGGGCTTGTTCGACACACCGAGCGATACTGTACTTATACAATGAAAAGATACATGTTAGATTAGAGCGCTAGATAGCTAGAAGCGGCCCAGAGCGTGTAATATACAATACTTGCTATAAGCTCATGTGCACATCTAGGAAAAAGACACATGATACAATCACCTTTGCCATTTGTCATTTGCTTCCCCGATGTCTGCGTACTTTCCATTGTACTTTATAAGAATTGTTGTGCATATTCCCCAGATACAGAAGCTTTCTTGTAGCCTATTCTTTGGTAACATGAATTCGGCCGCTCAAATGTAACTGCGCTTGGAAACTTGCCCTTTTCTCTATACTCCGACTTGCATAATATTTCCCCAATGTCCAGCATTGCAGTCCATCTATTCTGTCTGCCTGCCTAGCTTCCGCGGTACGTCGTATACGAAAACGGGCTCAGCAGCAGGGGCACGTGGTAGTTCTGGCCAGGGTCGACGCCAAAGACGACGACGACCTCGGGAAAAAAGGTGTCGTTGCTGCCGCCGCCAAAGTACGGCTCCGTGTCAAACGTCAGCCGCCACTGCGACTTGCGCTCAATGGCCCGGAGCGTCTCGGCCAGAGACGAGTTTTCGCCCTGCGCGGGCTCCCAGAGGTTGATGCGGCCGCCGGCGTCGGTGACGGACGTGTAGGTGTGGGCTGCAGAGTTGGGCTGGCCCTTGGTCTCGGCGCCTTCGAGGCGCACTGTGATGTTGGGCGCGGGCCGGCCGGCGGTGGTGTCGAGGACGTGGCAGGTGATGAGGTCAGATTGCGTTGCCATGGTCGATGAATGTGGATGAACAAATTGTAGAAAATATATTAGAACTTGCCAAGGATACATTTGAAGAAAGAAGACCAATGTATCAAGGCACAGATGTTCATTAGGAATCGAGGTTGAATTTAAGTTTGCTGGTACGTCTCCCCAACATTGCGGTCCGGCGGGAACCGGCCGGTAGACCAGGTATCGTCACTAAATGAAACATCATAACTTGAGGCTTGTTAAGTCGCGAGTATTTTGCAAGGTAAACCTTGTCGTTGTCTTGGAGTCTGGAGTTCTCCTTGGACAAGTTCACATCCAAGGTGAGCACATGATGCAGACTTGGCCGGGTATGCTGGAGCATAATCATACATGTCGAATTGCCCCATGATCGATGCATTTCAAGGCTGAGACGTTGAGTGTTTGAGCAGTTTTTGCAGTTTTTTCAAGTCCTGAATATATATGGCGCGGCCAAGAGACATTGATGACAGGGTTACGATGTTTCAGATGTTTAGCTGCTGCCGCTGCAGCAACCTGGAGGGCCTGCTCCTGACCGAAATCTCGGATCTGCGAGGAATAGCATACTTTTTCCTTTTATGGAAAACTCCATTGTCAGCGTCTTGAAAAATTGTGCCGCAATTATGTCATCATTCGAAAGCCAGCCCATTGCCCAATGAATCTCGGCGCGTACGAGGAAAGCGGATCACTCGAATCCGCCTTTTGCAAGATGAACCGCTGAATCGGGTAACTCGAACAGCCTTCACGACGTTACTGCAAGTGGCAGCTTGACTACTTGGGTACCGACTCACCGATGCGATATGCCGTTTCTTTAAAACACACACAAAAAAAAAAGTAGGAAATTCTGCTATGCGCGTTGGCACCTGCAGTTTGACCTGGGTTTCATGGCTTTCCAAGCCAGGTTCTGCGTCCAAAGCAGTCCCTGTGCTTTTCGCTTGAGCATTCTAATTCTAGCTCGAAAGCTGGACAAATCAATCAGTGGCTCACGGATAGGTGGGACCTCGATCATGTAGTGGGTGCCTTATTTAGTGATTGACACTGACAACCACCCCGCACTGGACTCGGCGTGGCAGTAATAGTGAATGCACTGACCACTTGATGTGTGATAACAGCTGTTCAATGAGAGATACCAATGAGCAACGGTCATAACAAGTCATCCTTGTCACCATAGGGCTAGCAAGGTGCTTATCTTTAACGCCTAGTCAGAAAGTCATCAAAGTGTTCACATGTCTACCGTGTCCACCAGGCCTACTTGGTTGCTTAACATTACACAGTTTGATACTGCGCGGATCAAGTACAGCATTGAACTCGACAGGATCGGAGGACGCAAAGATTTTTATAGCCGGCAAATTTTGAACTATTATCCTAACTTGTACGTAGTAGGATTCTGGAGAACTATGATTAGTGACTTGAAAATCCCCTTCGAACTGTCAAAGAGCTCTCTCGTTTGAATCGTGAAATGAGAAAGAAATTAGGCAGCAAGCTATTCCGTGGTTAGCCTAGCGACGAAAAGAAGACCAGTGAGTGCTCCGTACGCAGCAGAGATTGATTGGTTAGACGAACTCTCGTGCACCACTCTCTAGCGGAGTCCGCTGCAGCTGACATGTTATAATTGTCATCTTCGCAAGCACCACGAATATTGCCCCGCGCGACTACGGTATGCGCAGTTTCACGCTCTTTGACACTGGGGTGAAGGATGTTCATTTTACATGGAAATCTCAGAATTGACATCAACTTATGATCTCGCCTTTGCTTACAACTCTATTCGAAGGTATTAACACCGCCCGACTGCAGTTTTGTCAAACACACGTGGAGAAGGAGGGGGGGGGGGGGGGGCGAAACCCATCTACATGGATGGGCTCAAGTTGATTTCACTCCTTATCGAATTTCAGGCGAATTGGCCGACGATGTGCCTTCCAGGAGCCTAAAACCAATTTTGCTGTTGTACAACCTACTTACATAAATTATATTAATGACGTGGCATGCTTGGTTCGCATCATGCGGGGACTGCAGAGGTGGCAGATCTAGGCAGCCATCAAAATTGACCGTGAATGGACATTGTCAAGAATCATGTCATCTGCGCATTTTCATGTGACATTTGCGCACAGCAGTGCACTTAGATTCGCAGTCGAGTCACAAGTATCGAAAAAGGAGAGAATAAAGCATATAAAGTAGCTCATACGTCGCGCTCATCCAGGACAAACCATCTCTTACCTACCCACCACGAAACTTCTTATCTTTTCACCCACTCTTGAGCCTGCACTTAAACTACAGGAAGGCAACATGACCGACAATCCGAACGAAGCAGTTGACCGAACTTCAAAGGAATCTATTCCCCTCATAGCCGAGGCTGAAGCAATCACGATTTACAAACCCCCCAGGCCCGAGGATAGGGCTCAACTCCTTGAATCGGGGGATTCCGCCAGAAGAGTTCGGGGAAAAGGCACGAACAATGACGGCGGAAAGGAAGACAAGAAGTAATGCATGTGAGTTTGAAATGCTAGATCGAGAGAGACAGACCGTACTAATAAAGACAGATTCGCCCGGTCGACAGACATTCGACCTTTCCATTTCTTTATCATGTGCTATGCTCGAATAAAGACTGGAGCTCTGATTGATATCTATGTTCATCGGCAACTTTCGTTCTGATATGCTCACTGGCATCTTCCTGCCAAAACAAAGACATCTGTTTGAGGTCCTTGGCCAATTCTTTAGCTGTTGAAAATTTGGGGAGGATATGATCCTCAATGACGAATAGCCAGCCATTCAAGGACCTTATACACGCCCAATACCACACTCCCTTTGATTCCCATGTATCTCTCATTATTTTTGTGATTTGAATGTCATGTTCCACCTGCACATGTGGTAGTTCCTTGTCCATGCTTGCCAGAAACTCCTTTCGCGCGTTATCAAACGGCTCATACTGATCGTCAATAATCGTATCAATGCTGCAATTTGTAAGCCAATGCGGAACAGCCATCATCTCCACCGGCAGCGCGCAAAACCATTCAAGATCAATCAAGCAAGTAATATTCCACTCCTCGTCCACGAGAATATTGCTTTGATGAAAGTCGGTTGGTTGCACAAGGTAAGGGCCACTCCGTCGCTCAGGCAAGATAAAGAAATGCGAGACTGCGCGAAGTAATGTCCGAAGAGTCATACGCTCTTTGGCGTCATCCTCGTCTCGCACAGCGTGTGGGTCGTGTAAAAAGTGCGTGTCATGCAGTGTCAGCATATCAGACGCGAAACTATCTGTGCTCTGGTAGAGTCTGTCTCGTGGAATCGTTCTCGGTGTGCCTCGTTGCTCGAAAATTGCCATGGTACAAGTGAGAGGCCGATTCGAGAGCGCGACTGTGCAGTCTAGTGTGTTGAATTTGAAAGATCCGATGTACGGCTGTGGAAGCCGTGCAAGCGAAAGCACAATTCGAGCCATGCTCGCGAACAGATTTTTTCTGCGTGCTGTGTCTGACAAGTGATCAGGCCAGGTGAGCGAGAGCATTTTTCCCGTCTCGGGACCTATATATTCCAAAAGCATATATGCGGAATTGACGGCTGGAGCACCTGAGTCCCGAATGTAGTCTGAGAGAATTGGATAGCGAAGACACCGATATACCCACTGCCAGGCCTTGCGCCACAGGCTGGTGTAGATTGATGTCTGCTGAACGCGTATAAACTGGTGTGAGTGTCAGCGTAGACTTCATGCATACCGGCAAGCTACAAAACCTTACATAGGTACCATCTGTAAAGCCAAATGCAAAAAGATCCGGAATGCGAATATCAGGGCAATGCTCCTGCATCCAGATGTATGTTGCCACTTCACAGTTGACCTTCTCGTCGATCGTGCCGGGATATTGCCTTTCCACGAAAGGAATTGGGCAACGGAAAATAAGCTTCTTAATCGATTCACCCGCCTTCACAAGGACCAAAATGCAAACGTTGAATTTGCCCTGTATCCAAGTCTCGGCTGGCAGGACTGTGCAGGTATCGTCTGGATGTAAGCGAAGATGGTATCTGATCAAGGCTGCAATTAATTGCCTTTGATGCCATAGTTCCAACTTGAATCGCTCCGCTTCATTTCGATGCTTGGATACAAGAAGAAGATTGTCTTCCGACTCGGCGGCTGTTTCCAATGTGTGGACTTTGTTGCCTCGTAGGATTTGTTGCGCCATAACACCTTGATTAGGGAGCGAAGGGCAAGGTGTAACTGGTTTCAATGTCAAGAGTGAAAAGGGGGTGTTCTCGCGTCACGACTGGCGAGTGGGTCTGATAAGAATATATTACCTAATACTAGTTATAATATAAGAGTAATCTTATACAAAGGAGTTAATTAACTATAAATATTATTATTATAAAA